ACTCACACACACACACACTCACTCACACTCACACTCACACACACACACACTCACTCACACTCACACTCACACACACACACACTCACTCACACTCACACTCACACACACACACACTCACTCACACTCACACTCACACACACACACACTCACTCACACTCACACTCACACACACACACACTCACTCACACTCACACTCACACACACACACACTCACTCACACTCACACTCACACACACACACACTCACTCACACTCACACTCACACACACACACACTCACTCACACTCACACTCACACACACACACACTCACTCACACTCACACTCACACACACACACACTCACTCACACTCACACTCACACACACACACACTCACTCACACTCACACTCACACACACACACACTCACTCACACTCACACTCACACACACACACACTCACTCACACTCACACTCACACACACACACACTCACTCACACTCACACTCACACACACACACACTCACTCACACTCACACTCACACACACACACACTCACTCACACTCACACTCACACACACACACACTCACTCACACTCACACTCACACACACACACACTCACTCACACTCACACTCACACACACACACACTCACTCACACTCACACTCACACACACACACACTCACTCACACTCACACTCACACACACACACACTCACTCACACTCACACTCACACACACACACACTCACTCACACTCACACTCACACACACACACACTCACTCACACTCACACTCACACACACACACACTCACTCACACTCACACTCACACACACACACACTCACTCACACTCACACTCACACACACACACACTCACTCACACTCACACTCACACACACACACACTCACTCACACTCACACTCACACACACACACACTCACTCACACTCACACTCACACACACACACACTCACTCACACTCACACTCACACACACACACACTCACTCACACTCACACTCACACACACACACACTCACTCACACTCACACTCACACACACACACACTCACTCACACTCACACTCACACACACACACACTCACTCACACTCACACTCACACACACACACACTCACTCACACTCACACTCACACACACACACACTCACTCACACTCACACTCACACACACACACACTCACTCACACTCACACTCACACACACACACACTCACTCACACTCACACTCACACACACACACACTCACTCACACTCACACTCACACACACACACACTCACTCACACTCACACTCACACACACACACACTCACTCACACTCACACTCACACACACACACACTCACTCACACTCACACTCACACACACACACACTCACTCACACTCACACTCACACACACACACACTCACTCACACTCACACTCACACACACACACACACACACAAACACACACAGGTTTACATTTGTGAAAAGTGGGGACTCTCCATAGGTGTAATGGTTTTTATACTGTACAGACCGTATATTCTATTGCTCTACACCAACCCTACCCCTAAACCTACCCCTCACAGGAGACTTTCTGCTATTTCAGATTTTCAATACACTCCATTCAGTATGATTTATAAGCTTGTTTCCTCATGGTGACCTGAAACAAATGTCACCACAAGGTTCAAATTGACTGGTATTACTATCCTTGTGTGGACATTTGGTCCCCATGACGTGATAAATACCAGGCACACACACACACACACACACACACACACATTGGTTTTTATGGTTTACGGGGACTCTCCATAGGCATAATGGTTTTTATACAGTACAAACCATATTTTCTCTCACCCTACACCAACATTTGTCCTTAAAGTTTGCATAGTGTCATTGTACCTGTTACATCTATTCCACATTGTTTGGCTTTGGTCTTATTTTTGTTATTGATAAATCAGTCTCAGATCCTGGAAAGGTGTTTGTTCATCTTTGTTCTGAATCTCAGTGATACTGAGATGGTACCAAAGAAAGACCTGCAAGTCCAAAATATCCTACAATAACATTCAGTATGTACTTACACACTACAAACTAGGCAACATCATCTATGTAGAGATGTGCAAACCTAACGTGATTTGTTAGTGAGGCCAGAAAAATTTAGCTAAACTGAGTGTTTCAGTCACTGGTGACAGGCATTTCTGCCAAGTGTCTTAGTCACTTGTCGTCTTGTGAAATGATTAAATGTAATAAATACAGATAGCAGAAAATGGTTGGTTGCAGTTCATGGGTGTGACGGGCTGTTCAATAGTTCATATAAACCATGATGAATTCTAATTTTGTGTAAAAACATCTAATTTTTTGGCAGTCTAATCAAACAATGAGTAAACCACGAGATAAATGTTCATTCATCCCACTGTAAATGGACGTTCAAATCAAAGAAGCATTTTGGATTCTGTATTATAGTAGCACACCTGACAACATAAGCATATTATGCATACAGAAAACTGACATACTGTATACTTTATGGTACTATCCTGGGACTCCCGGAGCAGGACTGCGAAGCACACACATCACAGTAACACACGAGTGTGAAATAACAAGAAGAGTTTATTGGAATTACAACAGTTTTTATTGGCAAAGATAAACACAGCGAGATAGCTGAGATCCTCAAAATATATATATCACTCTAAAAGTACAATTTGTGTCCGTTTTGAAATATGAAAAAAAAGGTGCAATAATGACCTCACACAGTAACACAATCAATCAATAAATCTACAAAAGAACAAGCTCCTCTCCTTCCTCGTGGACACACAGTGAAGCAGTGGTGAAGTCCCTATATTGTGTTCAATGCATTGTCAGATTTCAGATGATGGTTCGTTAGGTTTGCTGTCCTGGAATTTCTTTCGACTATTGACTTAAATGATACAAGAACGAATCTTGAGTTACAAGGTCTTAATTCCACACTTCTGTGATGAAACAAGGGCACAACACTGACACAAGAGCAGCAGCATTCAGCAGAAATTACACTAATCCAACTATTTTCAGTAACAAAAACACATCTTAAAATAGTTCTCATCAGTTTGTTACTGATATGATAAATAAATAGTAGTTGGCGGTAGCAAAATAGCTACAATTCCGCCGCATACTGTACAATGTTTCTTAAACATGCCAGGCAACCTAACCTCCTTTTCTGAGGTCTATTAAAGTTTAAAAAGGAAACTGTTTCAAGAAATTATTTTTTAAAAAGTTAGCAATAAACACAAACCGTTGGTATTAAGGATATCGCAGGAATCTAACACATTTCTCTTCACTTTTGTTCCAATGCCTTCTGCTCTAACGCCTTCTGTGCTTCGTGAGGTTTGAGAACGTACTCTCTGTACATTGAATAGATCACTCCTGCAAACAAAAAGACAAAATATTGCATTAAACAATACATTTCTGTATGTGTAAACCTAGCAAAGCACCTCACCTAAAGTCATGGCTCCCACCACAAAGCCCTGCGCAGCCACACGCATGTGAATCAGGTGGACTGACATCTTCGTATCTCCTCTGTTCTTCAGTTTGAACAGTCTGTACGCCACAATGCCAAAGAACCCAGCCAACCCTTAAGAGACATCACAGAGAGACATGAAATATATGAAAGAGTTAAGGTGATGTTATAAATGTGACCCTGGAGCACAAAAGCAGTGTTAAGTCGCTGGGAGATATTTGTAGCAATAGCCAACAATACATTTTACGGATCAAAATTATACATTTTTCTTTTATGCCAAAAATCATTAGGATATTAAGTAAAGATCATGTTCCATGAAGATATTTTGTAAATGTCCTACTGTAAATATATCAAAAGGTAATTTTTGATAAGTAATATGCATTGCTAAGAACTTCATTTGGACAACTTTAAAGATGATTTTCTCGATATTTAGATTTTTTTGCACCCTCAGATTCCAGATTTTCAAATAGTTGTATCTATTGTCCGATTCTAACAAACCATACATCAATGGAAAGCTCGTTTATTCAGCTTTCAGATGATGTATAAACCTCAATTTCGAAAAATTGACCCTTATGACTGGTTTTGTGCTCCAAAAAGCCATGTGACTTAATAATGAGATACAAACTAAATACTTAGTGCATACGTGAGAAAGTAACAAGTTATAATCTTTAAATGGTTTACCTGCAGGGACGAATGGATTCTCTTTGGCTTTTCTGATCAACTTGGATTCATTGTCTTCGTATTCCATGGCAGTCATCTTGGCTAAAAGGCAATATTGAATAAAGATTAGATGTCATAAATTAAACGACACAGTGCCATTCTCTGAAGCTTTTTGCACTAGATAAGCGTAACTAATACATTCTCTATCACACTTGTATTTTGTGTTGTTACAGGTTTATAAGTTGCCACGTCAAATAATCAATAAATGGCCTAATATCAGCCAGTTTATCAAACTGGCCAATAAATTAGTAAAGTATTAAGTTGTATTCTGACTTACGAACCATATTGTACTGTAAAACGTGATTTTTTTATTTTTAATTTTTAAGTTTAGAACCATGACCTTAGGTCATTAGTGTGCTGTAGCAAGAGGAGGTTAATGATATATCAAAGAACACATCAAGGAAACTGAAAGGAAAAGTTCAACTGATGACCGAGTTGAGCTAGTGGTTACTAATGACATGTTATATGAAGGTCAAACGATGCACACAGGCCACTTAATACATGATTTTACACAGTTCTCACTTGATGCACATATGTAATAAAATATAACCAGCAATGACAGTCTTTTGATTTACATCCTATCATCAGCTTTCAATGAAAAGATGCGACATTTCCTCAAGAGTTAGCAGTTTCTGAGAGCACACGTGATCACTGTCGCTCTTTGTAATTAAACTATAACATTGTATTATATTAGCAAAACAATCAGATATTAAATGAAGGTTATAACATACCCGTTTAGGAAGTGTTCGCCGGCTGAGAGCTGCTACGCGAGACTGTCGGGAACAGAGTGATGTAACATGTAACACGTCTACGTGACGCTGCTATCCGCGTTTACAAAATAAAAGTCTTTATGAAACGCTTGCGCAACTAAACAATTAGAACAATGCGTTTAAATGCGTAATAAATCGACTATTTTGTCGCGAAAAAAAATCAAACAATTGGGTCCATTTGTTTTGCACAGTGTTTATCTGCTCAAAAAGCAAGCCACTTTGTGTTCATGATACTGAAGCAGAGATATCGAATGTTTTTTAGTAGTTTTAAATGACCAGTTTTTTCATTGTTTTCTGGTTTCCTTTTTGATGTTTTTGTTCAATTGCACATGGATGCTGATTGTTGAATGTACAGTGTGTCCGATGTATGCCTATGTGTGTTCATTACAAATTTGTCCAAATAATAATTAGGTTGGCTTTTCTTTGCTTTGTAAGCCTTCTGCATGATATTTTCAGTGGTTTTCAAAAAGTGTTGGGATCAAAATCTTCTGAACCAGTTTTTTCATTGTTTTCTGGTTTCCTTTTTGATGTTTTTGTTAAATTGCACATGGATGCTGATTGTTGAATGTACAGTGTGTCCGATGTATGCCTATGTGTGTTCATTACAAATTTGTCCAAATAATAATTAGGTTGGCTTTTCTTTGCTTTGTAAGCCTTCTGCATGATATTTTCAGTGGTTTTCAAAAAGTGTTGGGGACAAAATCATCTGTGGCAAAAAGTGGTTGGGACCTGTGCACCCGCAAATTATGCCTATGAAAAAAAATGTTAAGCGTAATAGGAAATTGACAAATGTGGTGTCATAAAAATAATTTTAGACTGTTGTAGTAATAAATACCAGAGAGGATGGTAGTTTATAATTTGATCGTTTTTATTGTTGAAATTGCTCCATATAAACTCAATCAGATTATTAAAAGCAAATCTCAAACAATATCATATTTCCACTTTGAAATTAGTAGATTCATGTTGATACTATGTCAGTAGATGTTTCAAATAAAAAAGTACTTGTTTCCTGATATAGTTTTCTAAACTATGGATAATGCTGGTGATTAATTGCTCGTTACATTTCTTATTTGTAAGTTGTTTTAGACAGAAGTGTCTGCTAAATTAATAAATGTAAAATGTCAATGAAACATGCAAAGGAAGATATTAGAAAACATATAGGCTAGCGAATAAACAAATAAGGAATAATGAAAACATTGTTAAATGTCATGATAAATCTAAGATTCCCCATGAGTAAATAATCAAAAATCCAATGCATTGACAAAACATAAAGATCGAAAAACATTTTAAACACCCAAGCCAATTGATCAGCGCTAGTAAAAGAAGTTAATCTACATTCTGTATCCCAAAACCATACTTCCTCATGAATAGAAAATCATTCTTAAATGTAAATTGTACATTCTAAGCATAGGAATTACACTATAGTTAAGATGACATGTAGCTGTAAGTAACCGAAGAGGTGTAGTCAACACTGCCTCTGCGTGATCCACTTCTTGAGCCGGTACGAGACCCTGCTCTGGATCCTGTACGAGAGTTTGTTCCCGAGGACACGTTGTAGGGGCTGCTTATACCTTTGGTAGACATCGAAGTTGCCTGGAGCATCTTCATGCCATTGTTCTCCTCCACCATGCAGTTATCCATGGCCTCTTTGTATGAGATTTTAAGTTTGGTTTTAGGACAGGTCAGGTTCTTAATGTAGTTCCTCGTGTCCTGCAGCTTCTGTGCCCCTTTGCCATCAAGCCATCCTCTTCGGATGGCCTCCTCAATGCTCACCCGGCGGCCAGTTTCTGGCTCTACGATTCCACCCGTCAGGTACTGGAACTCCAGAAACCTCTGCCCTGCCTCGTAAGGCAACCATTTTTCCTTAATGGCCTCTGCGGCAGAAAGTTTCCTCTTGGTCTTCACATCCTCAAAACCGGCATAAGCCTTCTGTGCTGGTTTTAGCTTGACGGACATGTCTTCATCGATAAGGCTTTGCTGTACAGCATCCTTCAGGGAGAGTCTCTGGCCAGTAGCAGGATTGACAATCCCTCCAGTGCAAACCTGGGCTTCCAAGAGCCGCTGAGCAGTGATGTTGTCCACTATCCCACGTCGCTGTGCCTCGGGGATGGTTATCTTCTCAAGGGTTTCTGTATCAAAAATGGCTCCCACGGGGCTCTGGTCATCAAAAATATCAGATGGAGGGGAGAGCGTAATGGATACGCTAGCAAAACGTTTGCGGATGGTTGGAGATGATGGCGCAATCTGTGTTGGACTGCTGCAAGTAACAACATCCTCAGGACTGCTGGAGCAGATGGAAAGCTCAGAACCGCTGCTTTTACTTGTGATCAGACCTGCGAACTCGTGGAGTGTCAGAGTCCCGGCACGGTACTTGTCCAGAGTTTGTCTATCAATAACTCCCCTATCTAGGGACTCTTGAATGTCATACTGGGTTCCGGTTTTGCGATCGACAATAAGTAAACGTTTGCTGCCGTCAGATGCTTCGATAGTGATCTCCTCCCACTCGCACTCTTGTTCCGAAAGCTCCAGGAAAGTGTCATAGTCGATTAACTCACGATGGTACGCTTCTCGTACGGTCATCTCTTTGCCGGTGTCAGGGTCTACAATCACCACTCTCCTCTTGCGCAGTGTGTTTTTTTGAGACGTCGTTTGCTTTGGCTTTTTCTTGTCCTTCAAAGGCAACAGGATAAGCCCAGTCTTGGGATCTTTGATGCACCTCTTTTTCAACTGTAGATATGTGAGGTTCTCATGGGTGTTGGGATCAAAGAAACCTTTGGTGTCATCGCCCTCGTATGTCAAAATCTCGTTCATTTCGCGGTCGAAGTAACCTTTCCTGTAAGCCACTTCCACATCAATCCGATGACTCCCTTTAGGATCAATGATGCCACCACTGGCTATCTGAGCTTCCAGCAGTCTAATCCCATGACCCTTCTCTATGATCTCCTTCTCAATTGCTTGAAAGAGCGAGATGATCTTTCCTGTTGCAGGATCCTTGTATCCTGTCACAGCCTTTTCAGCAGACAGAAGCTTGTCTTTAAACTCCTTTCCCACAAGAGCTCTCCTCCATGCCTCGTCCACTGTCAGGCAGACATTGTTGACTGGATCGATTATGAAACCAGCGGCAGCCTGGGCTTCCAGGAGCTCCAGGGTGGTTCCTCGACGAAGTAGACCATCTTTCATGGCCTGGTAAAAGGGCAAGACCCTATCATTGGCCTCATCGTAGATACCAGCGATGCAATCAGAGCCGCCTAGGTACGATCTGAGTCTGTCCTCAATTTCTTTGCCTGTTAGTTGTCCTCGGTTTACTTTATCCAAATCGGTCTGATCAAGCAAGTTGGAGTCTACAAGCTCTGTGAGTGAGACCTCACCACGGAGACCTTTCACGGTCAGTTTCTGGCTGCTACTCTCAGAGACAGACTGACTGGTTTGTGTACACCGACAACATGCAACCGGACGCTGTTGCAATAACTTCAATTCCCTTTCCAAAGCCTCCTTCTTAATTATGAGCTCTGAGATCTCCTTGTCCGAGCTCTGAAGACGATTCTTGAAGCGTTCTTCCAGACTCCTCAGCTCAGCAGTCAATCTTTGGATCTCACTCTGCAAGGAGGCCTTGTCTCTCTGTACTTTGTCTCGATCTGACTCGCTCTGTCTGATCTGCCCTTCCTTTAACTCGTATTGGCTTTTCCAGTACTTGAAATCCTTGGTAATTTTATCAATTTCATCCTGGAGACGTTGCTTCTGTTTGATCTCAGAGTCCAAGGAGAGTTTGATGCGCCGGAGCTCTTCTTCGGAGCGCTGCTGCTTGTCTTTGTCTTGTTGCGACAGCTTCAGTTTGACTAGAAGACTATCTCTTTCTTGCACAATTTCTTTGTAGTTGGCATCAGATCGCTGGATCATCATGGATGTCTGTGAACATAAAAGAGAAATGATTTATTGATGAACTGTGTCAGATTATAATTAATTTAGAGGATTTAACAAAGGAAAGAATTATAACACCAACACCATACTGATTCAAACATAGTTAGAATAGAACAACAAAAATTATGTTATCAAAGCAAATATTAAAAAAGCTTTTTGTGGAAAGATTGTAACCATGCAGTGTTATGCAGAAAAGGTGCTTTCGAAGGTAAAGCATTATGCAGTAAAGAGTTATCCAGCAAAGCCATTTTTATATAGCTTAAATTGGTGATGCATTTTTGATGAACTGATGTCGCTCAGAAAAAAATACCTCCGAGAACTGCTTTTGGATTTGGGCAATTTCCACCCTTAAATTTTCTCTCTCTTTAGTCAGTTCATTGATTAGTTCCTGCAGTTCCAGTGCTCTGTTATTGCTGGTTTGTAACTGGAATTGAATGGCAGACAATCGGGAAGCGCTTTCACTCTCAATGGTGCTCAGGCTTCTTTTCACGTCATCTCGCTCTAGTCGCACAGTCCTCAGTTCCTCCTCCAGCCGCAGACGCTCTTTGGTGAGATTCTGGGTGAGGCTCTGCAACTTCTCGATCTCGCTGGTGCTCTCATTTAGCACTCGACTCTTTTCTTCTATGGTCTTGTAGAGGGAATCGTTGTGTTTATTGGCCTCTCGGACAAGGGCTTGTTCCCGCAGAAGCTGCTGTTGCAAAGCTTTCAATTCGGCATTGACTCGGTTCAGATTCTCTACTGTGATCTTATATTCCTTCTGGCTTCTCTCCAAATCATCTTTCGAATTACGAAGCTCCTGCTCATATCTGCGTCCAGAGGCACTTTCCTGATCTTGATGGACCCTTAGAGTTTTGATGGTAGAGGTGTATTCACAGCACATCTGATTGACCCTCTCCAGCTCGGTTTCGATCCTTTTCCTCCTTGTGAGCTCATCCTGATTACTCCTCTTCTCCTTTTCCAGTTCTGCCTGCAACTCGTTCACCTTTGTCTGCAGTTCACTGATGCAACTCTGCAGCCTGATGGCATTCTTTTCCAACATGCTCTTTTCGTTCTTTTGTGTCTCCATGTCTCGCTTTATAATGAGTAGTTCTTGCTCAGAGATCTTTAGCTTGTTAATGGTCTCGGTGGTTGAAG